AAAATGTTAGTTCATGGTTGAAGATGAAATTGTTCTCGGTCATTTAGCTTCTTTGAAAATAATAAAGGTCGATAAAGTTAAGATAGACATTATTTCTACCTTACCCTACCCCACTTTAGTGAGAGAATTGTGCTCTTTTCTTGGTCATGCAAGATTTTACCATTGATTCATCAAGGATTTTTCTAAGGTGGTGAGTACATTGTTCAAGCTTTTACAAAATATATATTGTTTCAATTATATGAGAGAAGCAAGCTTCTGATCAAATCAAAAAGCTCCTAACTACTACACCTATCATTCAACCATCGAACTGGACACTAACATTTGAGTTAATGTGAGATTCCAGTGACAACCGTAAGAGTAGTACTTAGGCAACGATAATGAAAAAATTCTTATCCAATATACTATGCCTTGAAGATGGGTAATGAAGCCTAAATAAAATTATTCAAAAACCAAAAGAGTATTTCCTTTTATGGTTCTAACATTAGAAAAAGCAAGCCAAGACTCATTCGATAGGTGATACTTTTACAAGAGTTTGGTTTAGAGATCCGTGATAAAAAAAAAAGGTACTAAAAATTGTGTAGCCGCCGACTTGAGCCAATTATCAACCACTCAAGGAGATTTGCACTTGAAAGAATATTTTATAGATAAAAATTTTCTTGTTGTAGTCTTTTTAAGTCCTTGGTACGATCATTTGGTTACTAATCAATTTTCTTTAGGATGGTCAAAGGCAAAAAAAGAGAAACTGAAAAGTGATACCCAGTACTACCTTTGAGACGATCCCTACTTATGGAAATGTTGCACTCACTTCTCTAACTATTCCTACTCTATCACTACTCCCACTCCTTCTAGTCTCCGTTGGCACCTTCAACTTGATCATGCATATTTTCGAAAATCTAGTTTCTCGTTATTAAGGATTTTGTGAATTCTACTAATTTTGAATCATTGTTTGCTTTCACTATTATTTGTAAAAACATTTTGCTTTACCTTTTTCTAGAAAATATGTCGATCACAAGTAAACTATTATTTATGGTCCAATTTTACATTTTGGGTATTTCTTCCGATTCCACTTATAAAAGATCATTATTATTATTTATTTCATATTCATATATATTTACTTATAGTTTACATTAATATAATTTTAAAAACAACATTCAGAGTTACCTAAATTGTACATTAAATAAACTCTAACGATTCGGACTCGGATCTCTTGTTCCACAAAAACCCTTCGCATTGAGAATGGACTTGACTATAAAGATTTTGCCTTGTTGATTTATTTTTTCTTCTCAAAGTATTGAGATTCAATATTAATCATATACCTCACAACAAAATAGTTGGGCTAAGTGTAATCCCTCGTAAAATAATTTCTAAAAGTTCGTCGGAACTTGCCGGAGTCCGAGCCAGTGTCGGATAAATTTTATTTTGGGCTTTTGGTGTAAAAAGGGATGGATTGCGTACAATCCCCTATTGGTATGTTATGTGTGAAACTAGAGGATTTTTTTAGGGTTGTGACCCTATATTTGCTATGTATATTTGTATGACGTATCAAACAAAGTAATAAGGTTGTAAACAGGTTGATCTGGCCTTATCTAAGGCCTAGTGGAGTTTTCTTCAAAATGTGTTATCACAGTTATTTGAATATAAAAGAGAGTCATAAAGGAAATACTAAAAAACTCATATACGTAAGTTATCATTATATGATATGTGCAATTTCATTTAATCTATCTTTTCCAAATTATCTTGTGATATTGACATGTGATTCTTGGTATATATCTTATTAATTTACCTATGATTCATTGTTAATCATCTTTCTACATTTTTTTTTTTTTTTTTGTAGGTGATGGTGATTTCTTTATTCCTAAATGATGTTTTTCACGTCACATGATCCATTTGGGGGATAATAGAACTATATCATCTAATAGGATATTTTTTAATCTATTAATAATGTTTTAAGAATTAAGGCGTTTGAACTAATTTCATACTTGTACTTTTGACTCGAACTTTATTATTTATATGATAAGCAGGTGCACATTATCTTTTAAGTTTTTATTTAATTGCTTGTGTTGGATATTTTAGCCTTAGCGCTACAACGTAAGGCTCATTGGTTAATGAATGAGCCTTCCACTATGGCGTGGCGATGATACTCTAGTTTGAGCCTACCGGGGTGTAACACTACGTGTAAATACCATCAATTTCTAGATATTGTTTGTGCATTTCTTGTATTTCTTTTTTTTGTTTTTTTTATTATTATTTTTTGTCCAGGTAGGTTTTGAGATGATATTGCCCTTACTTTCATTTAGACTATACATTTTCTTTCATCATATGTCGCCATAATGTTAAGCCATTTTCAACATCTAATTGATCAACCACCTAATTATAGTCTACTTATACATTTGATTGTGTCAGTTTTGTTCTTCTTCCTCTACATTAATACTCTAAGATGGAACCCATGTTCGATTGTATTTCCTTCTTAGTTATGGGATAAATTATAGAAGTTATATATTTGGAACCCAATATTCAAATAATTACATATTTTTTTGTCAAGTTATACTTTGGGAGTCATGTTTTCCTCTTTGTCAAAATTTCATATCTTTTTTATTCCTGATTCACCATCATTTCTATCGTCTGTCTTCCTCTATTCTTTATTTCCAACTATATTGTTTTGGCTGCCTCTTACAATCCCATATCTATCGCTAGATTTTATTCTTGTTGAGACTTACAATCCTCCTTAGACCTCGTCACGTGATGCAAACCCAATTATATGTCTAGATCTATTTTAACACATCAATTGCATTATGTAAGTAATCCTCTTGCTTATCTGCATGGTTATCACTAGTTTATGCCATACTATTACTTCATTAGCCTAGGTCATTTTATAAAGCATTACTAATGACAAACTATGTCTAAAGAGTTGTAAGCTTTGCAAAAGACTTATATGTGGGGCATAGTTGATCTGTTTTGAGGTAAAACACCTATTGGCAACAAATGCATTTTTAGGATAAAAACTAACTTGGATGGGTCTGTTGACAATTACAAGGCTCATTTAGTTGTGAAGGCTACTCACAGGAATATGAATTATAAGGACACCTTTTCTCATGTTACGTGTCTTACCTTTTTTCATTACTTAATTGCAATTATGATTGTTTGTAAGTGATCCTTATTATAGCTGGATGTTGAAAATACCTTCCTCTAAAGTGATCTTTCTAACAACATTTATATGGCCTTCAAGTTATTCACATTCTTCTAAAGTCTCTAGGTTGTGGCATGCCCTATATGTGTCACATGCTTAGTTTGCTAAGTTTAACTCATTTCTTCTTCAGTTTGATTTCATTTCAATTTCAAATGATTATGCTTTGTTTATTCGTTATAGTTCTTACAGAATCATTATGTTAATTCTCTATATTGGTGATATAATTTTGATTGGGGATGATCAATATTGTATATTTGACTTACAAGATTATATCCAACAATATTTTGATATGAATAGTCTTGATCATATTTAGTATTTTTTGGGCCTTTAGATTTTTGACAATTATAATAGATATTATATATCTTAGACCAAATATGCTTTTGAAACTTTTATCTCGTATTGGCCTTACTGACTGCAAGATAAATATAACGTCCCTTAACGCTAAATATGACGTCCCTTAACGCTAGATGTCACCTTCCACCGATGAATGAGACTCATCATGAAAATATTTTATTCTATTGTCAGCTTGTCAAAAAGTTTATTTATTTGATAGTCAATCATCCTAACATTGCCTACGTTGTCCACCTTGTTAGTTTGTTCATGACATTTCTTTGCACCACTCACTACTTCGTATTTCTATCTATTCTCCTAGGTTACTCTGATGTTGGTTGTGCAGAAGATCTTGAGAATCGTTGCTCCACCACTGTTTTTTTTTTTTTTTTTTTGTAATTCTCTTGTCTCTCGGCATAGTAAGAAGAAAACAATTGCCTCTCACTCGAGCACTGAATCAAAATATTGTGTACTCGGTGATGCTACTTTTGAACTCTTGTAGCTTTTGTTATAATAGTTTTTTTTAGTGCACCAAACACATCGATGTCACATTGTTTATCATCATGTTGCTTATGAAAATTTTATATTGTGTTTTGTTGTCTTTGACCATCAACCTGCATATGTCATCACTAAATTCCATCACCATGATTGCTTTCAGCCTCTACCGCACAAACTCAAGTTCGTCTTTACAACATTGCCCACTTGAGTTTGATGAGGTGTTTGAAATATATTATTTAGATTATTATTTAACATAATCTATTTTATATTATGCTTATAAATCAACTTTGATTTGATTATTGATAAATATAAAATTTTATAAATTCTAACATTTTGTTTTTTTATATTTGAACATTAATTTAGGAGAAAGTGCAAAAAATACTCTCTATGTAAGTCTCATTATTATTTTCGGATATGTTTTTGCATGTTCTCAATAAAGAACAATATGTCTCTCGGATGTCTTAAAATTGTACTTTGGGTGCCGAAAAAGACACATGCACCTCACGTGAGCGAACGTGGCTTCGCTGGCACTTGTGTGGAACTTGTCGGGGCCGATATGGTAGGTGACGTAGCCTCACCTCTGGCTGGTGATGTGGAGGCAAGGACACATCACCTGCCACATCGGCCCCAACAAGTTCCATGCAAGCGTCGGCGAGGTGACATCCGCTCACGTGAGACGCACGTGTCTTGTGTGGTGCCGGAGAATAATTCTAAAGTCCCGAAGAGACTTATTGTCCTTTTATTAAAAAAATGCAAAAGAAAGTATTCGAAAATTATAATAAGACTTACATATAAGATATTGTTTTGCAATTTCCTCTTTATTTAGATATGATGTTCTCAAAAATATCATGATGATTCCATGGGTTTGCTCACCTAGTTGATACGATTTCCATAATATCAATAAAAAAAAAAAAAATTATAATTCAATACAAAATATTAATTTTTATATATATTTAATAAAAAAACAACACAAAATAAAGCCGTTGGTTGAAATCAAATCCTGACAAAATATGACGTCAGAACTCAGTGTCCTACCTGTCGACGTTAATCATCCCCTGCAGCATGTTATCTTCTTCACTGTCTTCACCGGCGACGAGCCGAAGCACAGCGTCGAGTTAGGGGTAGGGGTAGGGGTAGGGCTTCTGCTGCTTTTCTTCAGGAACACGGAAATGAAGAACTTGCCGCCGCCCCCGCGCTGCTTTTTCTGGGAGACTGTCGCCGGCCGGAAGGACGGCGGCGGAGTGAGCGGCGGGAGTGCGTCGTCGCTGAATGACTGCTTGGGCGTACCCGGCTGAGACTCCCAAAAGAAGGGCACGGCGCCGACGGTGCCGCCATAGTACAACACCCGGAACGACGCCTCCCCGCCGCCGCCGCCGCCGGAGTTGCACGGCCGCCGTTCCCTGGACAGCAGCCTCGCAAAAGCCTTGTTGCCGTCCTCGTGCCCACAATTATTATTATTATTATTATTATCTACCACTACTACTCCTACCTTCGCCGCCATTAATTATTGATTATGCATATATATATATATATACTTACTTTGTTAACACCATCGCCAATGTTTGTGTGTGTATATATATATATATATACACACGCGTGTGTTCGGGCGCCCTAGCTAATTAAGTGAATGCAGGTAGTTAATGTATGAATAATGTAGAATAATATAGGTGTTTGTTTGTTGGTTTGGATTTTAAAGAATTTGAACAGAATTGGAATAGCAGTACATGGTATAATATAAATAGACATTGACGTGATATATTTAATATAAAATTAATTTTTAGTACAATAAAAAAAATAAAAAATAGATATTTGATTTAATTTTTGTTGGAAGAAAATTTTGGATAAATAGATGATTTTTGGCAAAATCCTATAAACAAACACACCTTGTAGTGTATATATATCGAATCAAAGTTAATCTTATTATATAAAGCAACTTTTAGTTATATTTAGTTTAATATATAGTAATGTTGTAAAATATGGTGGATTATATTATTTTGAATACAACAGTTAAATTATATATATATATATATTTTCTCTCTCAGTTTAAATTATTTTTTTACCATTTTTGTTGGTCTCACTTTAAAGTATTTTTTTTCTATTTTAGTAAAAGTAATCGTATACTAATGCCAAAATACCCTTAATTTTTACTTAAATTAAAAAGATACTATTACACATATAATTATTTTATACGTAAAATGAAAAGGCAAAAATATCAAAAATTTTTACATATTTTCACTGACTAATAAAATACTATTATTTTTTAATATATTATAAAATTTCAAAGAACTCTTTTGGAGTGAGACGGAGAGAGTATGGAGTGAGACGGAGAGAGTATTATATATGATACTTAATAATTATTATAATAGTTATAGGGTGTATTCTTTTTTTTATTTGATTTCAAATTTTTATGCAATAATTATAATTTTTAAAAAAAAATTATTTTTAAAAAAATATATATTCAAATTATTAATTAAAAATCAAATTAAAAAATAAGAAAAAAAAAAACACATCCTATATTATTGACTATATACAGTAGTCATTTATTTCAATCTCTATGGATATGTTTACCTAAGAAATTTTTTTGATATATCTTTTCATTAATATTAAATATAATATAATATGTTCATATTCACACAATATATATTATATTCTATTAAAAAAAGTAAACAATTAATACAAAAAACTATCTTTTATATATATATATATTATAGTTCTTCCGTCCAGCCAGATGACTTATTTTTCTTTTTAATACATTTCACAAAAAATAACCCCTTTTTATTTTTGGTAACTATATCAATTTTAATCATACTTAACAAATATAAATCAATTTAATTAAACTTCTAACACGTTACCCGTAGGATCCACTCAAAACCCCTTTATTTCTATCTCTCTCCTCAATTAACATAATTTTTTTATCTATATTTAAAATTCCTCATTTTTTTATAAAACTAATTTATGGTAATGATTTTTTTTATTTATTTGTATTATATAAAATTTTATTATCTACAAAATGATATCCATGTTGCATATATTTTTTTCGAGATATAATCTTAAATTTTTTTAAAATACCAATAATATTATTCATATAAAAAATAATAAACTAATATCATAACTTATTAATTTACACTATCTAAAAAACTGTGTCCTAATAAAAGGGTTCATCCCTCGTGGGACGGAGGGAGTATATATATAATATGATGCCTAACAAGAAAAATATACTCCCTTCGTCCCATTGGAAGGGTGACATTTGTTTTTTGCACGTAGATTTTTTAATATTAGTATTATATTGGATTGTAGTAAAAAGACAAAAATACCCCTATTAGTACGGTGTAATATAAAAGTAATGACATTTGTATAATATAATATAAGTTGAAAGGGTATTTATTATGTTAGGTAGGTAGTACAATTACTAAATTAGAAAATTGTAATCTTATTTTGGGATGGACGAAAATAGAAAATGATAACCTTACAATGGGACGGAGAGAGTATAAAGTTACAAATTTTAAACAAACACTATACAAATTTTCAAACTAATCAATAATAATAATAATAATAATAATAATAATAATAACAACGCTATTTAATGCACTTGTTTACATAATCCAAAACATCTACATAAATGAATGGTGTAGTAATATCTAGCAGCACTTGTAAGTATTTGAAAACAAACAAGCTAACTCAAAATCATTGATCATTCAGCTTTACATAGGCCTAATATAATTAATTATCAACAAATATCATATAATGCACACCAAAATTTATTATCTCCTCTTACATATAATTTCGAAATGCAAAGAAAAAGTACTTCCTTCATAAATATAATTGATGTCGATATTAATTTTTAATCCCTTTAATTGTCGTGCATTTTCTATTCACAAAACAAAATCAATACATTTTGTTGCATCGAAATCGACCACACAATTACTCGTGAGATTTTGAATAATAAAATTTTGAATTGAAATAGTTCCTTGATATGATATAAATATGTATTGATGTAATATTTTGGATGTAAAAATAAATTTTAGTGTAATAAATAAAAAATAAAAAATTGAAGGTTTGATTTGATGTTTTTGAAAAAAAAATAAAAATAGAATAATAAAATCATGAGTAAAATCTGACGAGTAAACAGAGCCTTTGTTTTTCTTGAAAATTTGAGTGGAAGGCGTACAAGAGGTATTGGGCCAGCCGGATGAATTTAAAAAATTGGATTCTTGAGCTAATTCAATAGAGTTTTCGGGACTAATTCGAATGCGATCTTTTTAATGGATCGAACTGACGAAAAATAAAATAAATTAAGAACAATTTCAAATTTTATAATTTAAAGAGGAATTGAAGAAATAACATAAATAAAGTACTTGAATCTGAAAGAAAATGCAATAAAATTGAAGGAAAAACAAACGAAAAAAAAATACATGATGAAAATGATTTAGAAATTGGAATCGCTCTTTTCCACTCATACCCCTTGCTTCCTCCTTATTTGGAATTTTAACTAATTCTTCGTTAATTAGCTTAATTGCTAATGTTGAGAATTTTGGCCGTTTGATGCCTAATCCAACGAATCTTTCGGAAATAAAAATTAGTTGGTCCACTCTGTAGCCCGACCTACCGGTCCAATTCTTTTTATCTCCAACCCATTTTCCCTTAAACCTAAGCCCGATATCTTAGCCCATTAGTTAGTGTAGTGATATTTTGAGAAGGAGTTTTGGGCAGTTTCTGATAAGTGAGATAGACAACCGATTTGAGAGGAGAGGGAGAGAAGAGAAGCCGAGAGGGATTCGAGTGTGATTCCGGTGAGTTTTTCCGGTTAGAATAAACCCTATCCGATAAGCCAATTCGGTGGATGCCGAGGTTTGGAGTGACAAACCGACCTCCAACCTTGAGGTGTGATTACCTCGGGCCATTTTGCACCATGGGGCTGAGCCAAAATCCCCGTCCCTTCGCCGGTGAAAGATTGAGAAAGACCGATGAAGAATCGACAAGATCGGTGGAAGGTTGGAAGGAAGCGGAGGAGATTGATCCGTCGCTGTTTGCCAGAGAATCCAGAGGCTGCGCCATTTTCAGCCGGTTGGAGCTGCTGGCTGCTGATAGCCGAAGTCCGCAGGGAGGGGATTGCCGGAGAAGATGAAGCTAGGTCGTCGTCATTGTCGTGAACCGGTGGAAGAAGCCGATTTCGTCTTCTCAGCTGGAATTCTCAGACCGAACATGGGAGTTATTGTTACTCAATTCAGTTATCAAATTCTAGGCTAAATTCGACCATGTTTGCTTAATTGAGTATAGTGGCTGTTTGTTTGTAGTTTAATCTCGTTTTCCCAATTTACTTTTAGCCTTTGATTTTGTCAATTTTAATTTTGTATTGGTATTAGTTTTATTTGAATCTGCTTCCGTTAATATTTTGTATTTTGTATACAAGATTTGCTCGAATAATAAATTCATAACAACTAGCCTACGTAACTTACTCATTAACTCAATAATCAGCCCCTAACTATTTTCTTCTATCCAAAGTCACCATTTTCTCTTTGGGCACATTTATGCAAGTCCAAACTACCATCTAACTCTACTTGATTTTTTTTTTGTTTCCCCGCATTCCCTTCAAATCATTCCACAAAAAAAATTTAATTTTTACTTTTTAGTCATATCCAACAATGCTCTCCAAAAATATAATGCAATTCTTATCTTAGTTAAAATTGCATCAAATTTAATTTTTGTTAGTTTTGCTTTTCGGAGACTCATCTTGTCTTGAACCAGAAGGCCTATGGTGGAAAATATTGACCTTAAAGTTTTCTTTCTTAAGAATCTCCTCGACTGTTTTTTCTTTTGCATATCCTTTTTTTTTCTTTTTGTTTCCTTCATGAATTCTTTTGCAAGGGAATTTGTGACGGATCTGAAATCCCTTACAAACTCTGTAGTCGCAAATAATAGACAACGAAAATTTTTCGCTATTTTTTTGGAGCAATTTTGCGAGGAAAAGAACAAAAAAATTTCTTTCACAGAGTTTAAAGAAGGATTCAATCATTTCATCTTTAGCAATGAAAATATTCTTTGGCAAAATCCCTTGTAAACTTTTGCAAGGTATTTTGCGACCAATTTATGGGGTGTTTTGACGGAATACTATCACAACCGTGAAATTTTTTAATCTTTTAGTTTATCCAAATTTGTCACAAGTAGTAAACCTGTATATGTCCAAATTCCATATGGAAACACACCAAACACAATTATTCGATCAAACTAATTAGAATCGAGTCACAACATGTAAACAAAGTTCCAGATTCATGCAATGCCACATTCGAGTTTCATACAAATGTACAATTCTATCGAGTTTTATAGCAACAAAATTATAAATTCATGTTAAATATATCAACAAACAGGTGGTGCACCAAAATCGCCATCAGGATCTTGTCCGAATAGACAAGCTTTGATGTTGTTCAGCTGCTCTCTATGTCTACTAGCCAACCATCATAATCCAAACCATATGGGATACGACCATCACTAGTAAACAAGGTC